TCACCCAATGGAGGTTTGGCCAGCCTGGGTGAGGGGCTGATGGCTGTTTTCAGGTTGGCCACACCCCCTTTAGGGTGGGGGGTCCCCACTGGGGTGCCTGGCCAGTCTGGGTGAGGGGCTGAGGGCCATTTTCGGGCTGGCCCAGCCCCCCGGCGACAGAAGCTCCCAGCCTCTCCTTTTTTTCTTTTTTCTTTTTATTCTGGGATTTATTTACCTTCTATAATTGAAACTTTGTTGCCTTTTATGGAGGCCACAGCCGGCTCAGGGCTGGGGAGGAAGCTTGGCTTCCTCCATCGCCTGGGCAACCAAGCCTCCTGCTCGCTCCAGCGCCATAGCTGTCAGCCGTTATCTTGGTTGGGTTAATTTGCATATTGTCATTCTGATTGGTTGGTGGGTGTGTCTTAAGGCGTAGCGAAGGTACGGTCAATTTGCATGTTTGTCTTTTATTAGTGTCGATAATGCTTTTAAAATATATTAAAAATGAAGAAATAATTTTTAAGTAATAGTATTGGGATAGCTAGATAACAATATGGATAAAAATAAAATTGGGTTCATTTTGCCCACTAAGATAAATTTGAATTAGATCACATTTAAACGTAAGAAATGAAACCATAAAGTATTGTGAATTTAAAAGATGGGGTTGAGGGGAGTTTGAATTCTTCTGCACCTTAGGAATAGAGAAAAACTGTCCTAACTATGACTTGATCCAGAAGCAATAAGGAAAAATATTGATAAATATTAGATCATCCCAAAAAAGCCATATGGCAAAAAATAGACAAACTGAGAGAAAACATCTGCAACTTATATCACAGATGAACAGTTAATATCTAGAACTTCTAAAAATAAAAGAAATAATGTCTAACCACCTTACAGAAAAATGAGCTAAAGATGAGCCAGTTCCCAGAAAAGGAAATGGTCAACCATGCTCATAAAATGTATATTAAAATTACATAATATGCCATTTCTTAACTATTAGATTAGCAAAAACCCAAAATTTGACAGTATACTCTTTTGGCCAGGCTGTGAATAATAGGCATTCACATACTTCTAGTGAAAAACAATGAAGGAGAGAGTATATGGCAATATCTTTCAAAATTATATATGCATTTGTCCTCTGACCCAGCAAACTTACTTATAAGTAAAAGATATTATCAGCAAAAATACAAAAAGAGATCTGGCCGGTTTTGCTCAGTGGTTACAGCATCAGCCACGGACCAGAGAGTCACAGGTTCAGTTCCCAGTCAAGGTCATGTACCTCAATTTCAGGCTCAATTCTTGCCCCAGGTCAGGGCCCATGTGGGAGGCAACCAGTTGATGTGTCTCTCTCACATCGATGTTTCTCTCTCTTGCTTCCCTTTCTCCCTTTCCTTCCCTTTCTTCCTTCTACTCTCTAATAATCAATAGACAAATATCCTTGGGTGAGGATTTAAAAAATATACAAAAATATATATGCACAAGGCAATTCATTGCAAATGTTCAGCAGTAAGAGACTGGTTGATAAACTATTTAATATATGATGATAAACTATGCATTTATAAAGCACAATGAAGAAGATATCTATATTTTTATGGTTCTTTTAAAATATTCACAAAAGTGAGAAACCTCTAGCTATACAGTATAAGAATAAAAAGAAAATTCAAATTACTAAAATCAGGAATGAAAGAGGGGACTTTACAGAATTCAAAAGGATTATAAGGGAATGCTATGCACAATTCTGTGTCAACAAATTAGATAACCTAGATGAAGTGGACAAATTTCTAGAAAGACACAAGCTGACAAACTGATATGGTAATAAGTAGCAAGAAATAGAAATCCAAATTGACCTTTAACAAGTAAAACATTTGAATTAATAATAAAAAAAATTCTTCCAAAAACACAAAATTGCTCAAGACCAGACAGATGACTTTACTGTGAAGTCTACAAAACATTAAAAGAAGACTTAGCGACAGTTCTTTAAAACACTCCAAAAAATAGAAGAAAGAAGACTTCTCAACTCATTCTATGAAGCCAGTATTATCCTAATACCAAAACCAGATAAAGACATCACAAGGAGGGAGGAACACTATCGACCAATAATCCCTATGAATAAAAATAAATATCACTATGGACACACAAATTTTCAACCAAATACCAGTAACGTGTAAAGAGGATTATGCACTACTAGAGGCCCAGTGCATGAAATTTGTGCATGGTAAAGGGAGTGTCCCTCAGCCTGGCCTGTGCCCTCTCACAATCTGGGACCCCTCGGATAGGGTCCCTGGGCCTGGCCAGTGATCAGGGCCTATCGAGGATTTCCTTCCCCCGGCAGCAGGCCCCACCCCCACCACTGCCACAGCTAGCCATCTGCGGCCCTGCCTTCTACCCCCGCCACCAGTCGCCTCCCTCTGCGGGTGACAGGCATAGAGTGTGATCGCTTGGCTGGCCTGGGCCTCCCTCTGTGGGATGATCGATCACGGGGCCACCAGATCAATCGCCCTGAAAAGGGAGGCCCCACCCACCCGGCCGGGGCTCCGCGATCGATTGCTGTGCAGAGAGTGGCTGGGGCCTCCCTCTTTAGGGCAATTGGGCAATGGCGGGGCCCACCGACCAATCTCATTGCACCTGCCTTGGCTGGCCTGGCGCCAGTGTGTGTCATAGCTTGGTCGTCCAGAAGGTCGTCCAGATGGTTGTTCTGCTGTTTGGTCAATTTGCATATCGCGCTTTTATTATTATAGATGGCCAAATGGGATTTATCCCAGAAATGCAAGATTGGTTCAACATTTAAAAGAATTAAGAGTACTACACCACATTAACAGAGCAAAAGGAAGAATAGATACATGTGGCTTAACTAGAAGTAAAAGGAAATTCTTTGGT